GTAAGTCATCCGGGCCTGCAGCAGAAGACGACTTGCAAATTTTTAAAGTTTTAACACATCACAGTATGAGAGTGGTTCCACATTACAAGCCGAGCGGGGAACATCCTGAAGGAACTGTTTGGTCAACCGTTTCACGTAGCCCGGACCCTCATAGACGGGGTGCTAGCCTCGGTCCGTAAAACGAGAAACGAACCAGAATCGCTGATGCGATTGGTAATGAAGATGCAACACTGTTCCATTGCCCTGACTCAAATGAGCTGAATTGAACGCACTACACACCTTAGAAGCAATAGTACGATGCTTGCTAGCTGACATACAACAGCGATGGGCGTAGGAGGTGATTATTGGTCGTCTAGGGAGAGAACCGAATTTCACCGAGCTAACGGAATTCATCCGAAACCGTACCAAAGTTGCTAGCAGTCGCTTCGGACATTTCGCCAGCATGCGTGGGCGAGAATAGAAACTCCACGCCAAAAAACATAGCCACAACCTTACCATCTTCCCTGACGATCAGCACGGTGAACGGAACCAAAACGATTTCCGCTGATCAAGGAAAGTGACGTTGGTTTCACTAGATAATGGTGAACGAGTAGAGGTGAAGGAAGCTTTCATCGTCGCCGACTTGTCGATGCGAGCAGTGGAATCGATATGGGAATTTGTATTTCGAAGAAGCCGACTCTCCCGAAGTCGATTTGCTTATAGGATGAGATGTGCCAGAAGCACACTGGGTCATGGACCAGAGACTGGGCGGCAAGAAAGAACCATATGCCGCTAGCACTATTTTCGGTTGGACGTCGTTTGGAACGCCTCATGCGACAAACCACAAACCGTTGTCAGTTAAATTCACCACCACCGCTGGCAACGATGCGATCGAACAAGCTCTCCAAAGTATGTACGATAATGAGTTCGATGACATGAACGAATAGAAAGAGGGCCCTTTTGTAGAGGACAATCAATAGCAATGGTCTAAACGGGGACACGATGCCAGCCCGACCGGTTTGAGGTGCTGTTACCATGGAGGACGGGATACAACCAACTACCGAACAACCACGGGATAGTTTGACAGTCTATACTTGGTGTCAGGAATCGAATCGCAATGATCCGCGCAACTAAGCTCTAACCGAACTAGTACGCAGTACGAAACAGAACACCAGAATATTCAAAGTCGGATTGTATTACGCGCCGAAATTGTACAAAGCAATCGATCATATAAAGAAACAATAGTGTTCAGTTTATACACAATCACCACAGATAACCGTAAAATGGTTGGGGTACCTTAAAAGGCGAGCCGACATACAAGAGATGTTTCTCTAAATAAGATACAAGAGGATCAGCGCGACGCCCTGCAATTACTATGGTGGCCCGATGGTGACTTGCAGAACCCGGCGACAGACTATAGACTGACCGTTCATTCATTCGGAGCGGTCTCTTCGCCCTTCTGCGCAAACTTTGCACTTCGGCGGACAGCTTCGCAATACGGAAACAACTTCCCGGCTTCGGTGTCAACTAGCGTTGGAAATAATTTCTATGTCGACGAATTCCTGGACGCCTTTGACGACGAAAGAGAAACCTCGCAACACGTAATGCAGCAAATGTATCTACTGGAGAAAGGGAGGTTCCGTTTAACCAAATGGTTGTCTAACTCACGTTTAGTTTTCGACAATATTCCCGAAACTGACAGAGCGAGCGGGGCTCTCAACCTGACTACACAGCCACTCCCTATCGAGTCAACCTTGGGGGTGCGATGGAGCGCAGAGTCAGACGAGTTTATCTTTCAACTAAAACTACCCGAGAGAAATCCTACCCGACGAGGGATGCTTTCGCCGGTATCCCGCTTAAATGACCCGCTTGGTTTTGTCGCGCCGTGGCTGTTGCCGGGAAAGGTCCTCCTTTAACAATTTTGTCGAAAATGGGCAGAATGAGATCAACCCTTGGACGAGCAGGACAGGAGGGATTGGGAGCATTGGTTGATTAGCCTCAGTAGGCCAGGTGAGATACGGATCTCGCGCCGACTCAGCCGCAGCAGTCAAGCGACGAAGGGCGAACTGCACCTATTCCCCGACACGTCTGAAACGGGATACGGAGCAGTACCTTACGTATGTTGGCAGCATGTGAATGGCGAGCGCAAGACGGAATTGCCTNCACCTATTCCCCGACACGTCTGAAACGGGATACGGAGCAGTACCTTACGTATGTTGGCAGCATGTGAACGGTGAGTGCAAGACAGAATTACTTTTTGCCAAAGCTCGGGTCGCCCCATAAAAATGCGTTTCGATACCCCGCCTCGAGCTGACCACAGCCGCGCTAGCGGTGCGTATAGCCAAGCAGTTGCGACAGTGCTTCCGTATATTCGAAGGTCGTGTCACATTCTGGACCGACTTCGCCACTGTAAAACACTATGTGAATAATTTCAGCTCTAGGTTCAGCATCTTTGTTTCCAACCGACTGACGGTAGTGTACGAAGAGACCAAGGTGCACCAATGGCGGTATGTGAAACCTGCGGATAACCCAGCTGACCACTGCTCCCGAGGCTTGAACTCATTGGACAAGCTACGTAATTGGCTTGGAGGCCCGACCTTCCTGACTGCTGCGTCAAAGGACGAGAATACAGTGCTTGTACCCCCCGCGCCCGTGGAGTTGATAGAAGCCAAAAGAGTAATCATGACGGTGGAACGAGATATTATCTCTCCCGGATAAAGAAACTGGAAAGCTTCTAGTCCTGGAGCAGACTGATTCGTTCCGTCGCTTGGTGGATGAAGTTTAAACAGACGGTGTTGAACATGACCGGATTTCGGCTTGACTAATCGCTGCGTGTGGGACCTTTATCGATGGACGACCTAATGAGAGCGGAGCACAATGTCTTGAGATTAGTACAACTGCAACATTTTCCCCTCGAAACAATGACTCTACAAGCGAACACAGGGAAGAACCCCAAACGAACTGAAATCCAACGGAGCGCGTTGCGTAAGCTGAACTCTATAATGGTCGAAGGGTTGTTACGCGTGGGAGGGTGACTGGACAATTCTTCTTTGGCTTCGACACTAGACATCCAATCATTCTGCCGGCACAGCGGTACGGGTGTTTGTTTACCTGCATGCAGTCTCGCGCGGTGCATTTAGAGATGGTACATAGTATGTCTACTGAATCGTTCCTGATGGTGCGCCAGAGGCTGATCAGCAGGCACATAGTTCCGAACAACATTTACTCCGACAACGGTTCGAACTTCGTGGGCGCGTCGAACGAGCTGCAAAGGTGGCTGTCCGGAGTCGACCAGAGCGAACTACATAAGAGACTGACTTCCCAAGCTGTCCAATGGCACTTCAACCTGCCGTACTCTAGCCACAGAGGCGAGGTTTGGGAACGGATGACAAGGTCGATGAAAAGGATCCTATTGGATGTATGCAACCAAAAGTCCATCGACGATGAAACCCTGAACACGGCCCTAATCGAGGTGGAGCGAATATTGAACAATAGGCCCTTGACACCAGTCGCGAGTGAAGCCCCGGGTTTCGCGCTTACGCCGAACGACTTGATACTCTTGGGACTGAATCGCGGACTGGCGGTACCACCAACTATAACGGAATATTATTCGAGCAACTGGAGGCAGACCTCCTACCAAGCGGGAGATTTCTGTAAACGGTGGGTCCGAGAGTACTTACCTACCCTACAGACACGCTAGAAATGGATACTCAGAGAAAGAAACTTCCGAGTTGGTGACAAAGTGCTGCTTGCAGATGAACAATTGCGGCGAGATGAATGGCCCTGGCGATCATCAATGAATGCCTCCCGGACGAGGACGGACGCGTACGCACGGTTAAAGTAGAAACGACAGCCGGTGAAACCCTGCGAGATATCCGCCGAATCTGTTACCTAGAGGAAGAAGAAGCAGAATCGACCGGGAACCTTAGCAGCTGAGGAATCCTCCGGGTATAATAATAATAATAACAGTATATTTCGCGAAGCCTGCGAAGCATGCTAGTGCGCATAACCGAAATGTACAACAATGTGAAAAATGAACGGTGAAGACAAAAGGTAATAGTAAAAAGAGTGTAGGAACGTAATTTTCAAACAGGTACGTAAAATATCGTAAATGTGCCTCGCGTTGAAAACGAAACACAAAGCGGACAAGGCCATAAAATGGAGTATTTGGGGTGATCTGTTATGTAATGCGCATCATCGTGAATGTTTGTCTTATAAAAAGTAATGGCAAGAAAGAAAATTGAGAGTTGGAATATCCGCTCGGGAGAAAATGCACGGAAACGAGTTCCAAGAACATAAAGAGAGTAGCAAAGAAGAAAGACTCATAATTTCAGAGGCAGAGCTACAATCGAGCTGAAGTAGAGTGCAGAAATTCAAGAACAGACGACAGATGGCTTATAAATAAACTGTTTCACATGTCGATACAGTTGGAAGGACTTCTGTGATCACGGAACAATGGGCTTTGAGGCTTCACCATTAACGGACTGATTGGTTTTTATTTATATTATTGAGGGGTTGGTCGCTTTGATGTGGGACTGACTACACGTTAGACATCCAACCTTAAAACACCTTTTAGGTGAGGCAGGGGGTGTGATCCGCAACCTGATCCGGACTGCGGACGCATGTAGTGAAAAACGGTGGATACAACCGCGCCCAACAACCCTTGCTTGAGCCAAAATTTCCATTGTAGGTGTAGACCCCAAGCCAACCGAATCTGAAAGAAACACGCGAAACTCGACAGTCTTGGTTAATACCCAGCTGATAAGGGAAGAGGGGAACAGCATGTTACGAAAGAATATGTGGAGGGCGTAAGTGCCCAAAAGTATATATACATATATATTTATATTTAAAAAGATAGTGCACGCAGAAAAAACGTTGGTCAAAAAAATAAAGAGATCAAGCGAATCAGAGGGTTCAACACAGAAGNATGTGACGAGATAAATTCAAGAAATGTACTATCTATGAGGAGAGGTTAAGTCAGGATGCCATTTGTGAAGGATCATCTTATGGATATGTGGGTTTAGGGTACAGGTTTGGTTGTGGATAGGTGACAATTTTATCAAGTATTCACCGAGTGGGGTTGGTTCTACTTCTCGATGTTTGAGACTCAGGAAGTGTACTATGTGTGAGTAGACAATGGAATGCAATGTGAGCACAACTGCCGCATCAGAATGTGTCACAGGTACAGAGAAGCTTAGAGGTGACCTGAGGGTGGGAAATTAAGTCAGGTAGGTTGTTTCGGTGCTGTAGTCTAACAAGACAAAGAGGCTGGACAGGGGAGAGTGAGTGGAAGTGTGCTATCTTGACTTCCAAAAGGCCTTCGATTCAGTGAATAATAGGCTACTCGTTCAAAAACTGGAAGCATTTAGGATAACGCCTAGAGTAGAACGTTGGGTAGTGTCAAGCCTGAAGGGAAGGCAATAAGAGTGGACGAAGTCCTGTCAACGAGAGGAGAATTGAAGAGTGTGGTGCCTCAAGGTTGTGTGCTGGGACCACTGTTACTTGTGTTGTTCGTCAATGATCTAGCAAACGGACTGGAGAATCCATGCTTTAAGTTTGCGGAAGACATCAAGATTATCGGAGCAGTAACAGACGAGAGAATGCAAAGCGATTTAGGTAAGGTGTATCAGTGGTCGCTGGCGTGGGATCTCCCTCTCAGTGTAGCAAAATGCCAGAATTTTGTGGAGGAGAAATAGCCAAGACCCATTCAATATGAGCCCTCCGGGGGAAAGAAGGGAATTGAAGAGAGCAACTGAAGCTAGAGATCTGGGAGTGATAATGGGGTCAGACTTCAAGCCAAGCCAACAGTGCCATCACGCTGCACAGAAAGTCACACGAGCGGTATACCAACTGAAAAGAGAGGTATGTTTGAGAAAGCCTGGTGTTCTCTTACCGCTACACAAGGCGTTTGTCCGGCCACACCTGGAATATTGCGTCCAAGCGTGGAGGCCCAAATTGGTGAGGGACAGCAGGCTTCTCGAACAGGTACAGCGTTGCTTCAACAGGTGGTTTGGTCACTGTAGAGGAATGGAGTACGACCAAAGGTTGCAGGAATTGAGGCTGTTTTCTAGAGAGAGAAGACGAGGCGACCTAATAGAAGCGTTCGGGATAATAAAAGGCTTGACGCCGATAGAGAGCGCCAATGAGCCCATTGTTAGGATGAGAGAAACCCTTAGAGGACTCGCTCTGAGGCTGACGAAGAAAAAACCCAGACCGGGGATCAGAAGTCACTTCTTTGCATTAAGAGTGGTTAATGACTGGAATAAGCTGCCGAGAGAAATCATAGACGTCGACACTGTAACGCACTTCAATCTGCAGATTGACAAGGCGTGGAGTAATATCTTTGGCGAGGAATGAAGATCATACCAGAGAAGTTGAATCACGATGACTGAATTAGGGGTGTTCCTCTTCACACTGCATTAATAACTTATTATTTGAGTTTTTATGCGTGCGGGTCTGTGACAAAGGTTACACGAAGCAAGATAATAGCGAAGCTACAATTCACTGAAGACCTTAACGTCATTAAGTCGAAACCCGGGGGATCCAAGAGTTCGTGAGAGCAAGAAACTGAACAGTTTGGCATCTCGCCATCAAGTCCTTAATCCCCGAACTGAATTGAACTTTTTCTATCAAGGCGTCCTCCAGTGAAGCGGTTACCGTCGGTTGGAAATAATGTGGTGACGATTCAAGCCACAGCTCTCTGACGATGTCAGAGTGGGTGTTTGATGAGCCGGCTAACGTGCGCAGACGTGCCAGATGCCTGCTTGGCGTCGTGTCACCAACCGGGTGACGAGCCAGCAACTGGTACAGCCATTCCTCATTAGCGGGAGTGTAGGACTGAAGGATCGCAGCCTTTAGAACGTCTTACGCGTTCTCCTCCGGTGGATGACATCCCTAATGGCAGAAATTCGGTTGCCAGGGATCGCCTCAACCGCGTAAACGTACTTGGAGTGCTGGCTGCGAAGGTTACCGGCTACAAACTGCGTTTCTAACGCAGCAAACAAAACCTCAGAGTCATGAGGGATGAAGGCTGGTGACTTAAAACTCATAGCCAATATGTCCAGTTCCCTGTCGTCCATTGGTTTTTGTTCCGCAGTCATTGTACAAATGCGATAAATAAATATATCGTGCAAGTGAAAATGAACCGGGAGAAAAGTAGTTCAAAACCAAACTTAATAATTGGACGTAATGGGCTCACCAATGAAGCTGATCGACGTTGACGGCCTACCTATGAGTCTTCTTACGGATCTCAAATAGCGGTCCACCTCCTAGTATCTCGTTGCCCGAGGTAGACAAAAACACTCGTGGTGGTTCCAGACGTTTATTTGAGTATCGTGGTATTGATAAGAATAAATAATAACAAATGTTTTTTACTTCCTTTTTCAATTTATTGAATATACAGATGTACAGTCAACTTTTAGGAAGCGGGCTGCGGTCATATAAAGGCTGCTTGGGGAAAATACAGATATAGCAAAGACAGGTAGCCAATTGGAAGGCACGAAAGTCCTTCGAAAAATGATCCAAAGACTCGTATGAGTCTTTTATCCAACGTTTGAAAATGGAGGAATCGTCCACGGAATTCATCGATAACTGAGCAGTATGAGTCAGCAAGCAGAACACGAAACGCAGAAATGCGGTGGGAGCAGCCCTATTGGCTGTATGTATATATGGAGTGACATTTTATACTGCACGATAAACGGTTGTTATATTTTTGGCTC